AAGAAGAAGAAGAAGAAAAAGAAGAAACTATTGTCCTTAAGTAATTGTCCATTATTATATAAAAACACATGATATCAGAAAGTGCTATAAGCATTTGAAACATATTACGTAAAAAGCAAATTTATCTTAATATTACGATATAAAATATTTAAGCGTGTAGTATGAATTTCATATACAAAAAAAAAAAAAAAAAAAAAATAAACAACGAACGTGCATTGATTGTTTTTTTAATTATCAAGCAATCTTAAGTAGATAGCTGCTACTATATGTTTCAACAATTAAACGTTTTACCGATCGTGTTTTTGTAAATTCCACTTATTGTTTTGAAATGTTTTCATGCATACACTACTTTCCTTTCCATACTTTTAACGCAAAAAGCATTAAAACTTGACAAACATTCCAGTAAATGGCCAACTACACTATGAAACAATACATTGGACAATACGTGCACAATGGAATATACACGAAAAATTAGTATTGTTTAGAAATAAGCAGCAGCTAACAGAAATAAGAAACGTCAGATATTTTATTCTCGTAGAAATAATAGAAAAATATAATGTGATAAAATATCTGCTTATTTCTGTACAAATCGATTGCTTATTGTACGAGAAAGCAAAGAGGGGCGAGTGTACATTGAATCTTTTATATATATTTTTATACATAAACATAATATACACGTGTATCGTGAACTGATCCCATTTTCCAAGCCTACAGAGAGAATTGGATGTTGGATGAATTGGATGACAAGAAAAAAATATGATACCATCGATGGTTGTCGATTCAATTTGAGTATACATTTTTCCATCAGATATCTGTACGTCGTTATACGGATCATAATCGTCTAAATCCTCGTCACTCTTTAGTTTTGCAAGGATCTTGCGTCTTTGTTTCGTACCGACTGACTGCATAGCTAAAAGCACATTGGGGGACTGAATGCCAAGGGAAGATATCAACGCATCCGTCCCATAAACGAAAGCCGCGCCTATGAGAAATCCAACTCCGATTGGTACGAACGCGTATTCGCCTTCTGCACCGTAAATTTTGCTCTTTGTCGCCATTTCGATAGCAGGTGCCAGTAGCGACCAGTAACTTGCCGCTATCATTACGCCGCCCGCAAATCCCAGGCTGATGTCCAACAATTTACGCTGCAATAAAATGCGTTTTATATTTTAGAATCATCCTTCTATTTCTTATTCTAAAATTAATTTTTTAAAGTTTTAAACACATTTCTTTGTATGAATGATCAATGATATATTTATTCCATTTTATTAAAAATGATTATAATTTCTTTCCTAATTTTTTTAATTTTTTTCTTCATTCATATTATTTCATTTCCTCTTTTCTTATTTTTTTTCTTTTATTATGTATAAAATATTATCTACTATATATCCAATAATTTTATATTTTATAATTGTTTTATAATTGTAAATTTTACATTATATTACATTATATGTTCAGTTAGGATAAATTTAATCTTATCAGATAAAGTTTAAACAGAGTAAATAGATGTTAGTAATTTCTTCAAAAAAAAAAAAAAAAAAAAAAGAAAAGAAAAGAAAAGAAAAAAGAAAAAAAAAAGAAAAATTTATAGATAACATTGAAATTACGTAATACGTTTTCATTCCGATTCGCAAACAGAAGAGTTAATTAACTTCGTGCTAACTGGTTGTAAAAATTTACATTACAAATGTACAGATTAAAAAACATCATAAATTTAATAATCATCAAGATTGAGATATTATTATAATATATTTTATACGATATAGCAGTAGTAAAATTTGGAACATTTTATAACGAAACATAATATCTGAAATATTATAAAAATTTTAGGAACACTTCCAAATTGACAAACGGAATTCAAAATATTTTCAAAACGGAGCAATTCCCGCGAAGTACGATAAAGCCGGATAAGGTTAGTATATAAGATAGGTTAGGATCGAATGTATATGATTTTATTTGATAAAATGATAAATATTTAAAGAAGTATATACGAATTGAAAATATTATTTGATTCGAAAAAAAAAAGGAAAAAGGCAAAGAAATAAAACTTACTTGCTTTCCTCGAATCACGATGACAAGTGCGGCACCCGCTGCAGTGAGAGCCCATGTAAATAACGTTCCTAGGAGCGCCTGTACAATCGGCGAATAATCCTTTAACATTGTACCAATCGTCAAATTCACGACACCTTAGATTACACCGCACATTCTCTACGACGTGAACCACGAGAAAGTGTTTCGTGGGACATGAAATTCGTTGATATGCATTCAGTCCCCCGCACTTATCTCCACTAGCACCACCACCATCACCGTCACCACCACTACTACCACTGTAGTCGCCACTGATATTACCTTCATTACAGTTACTATTACTACTAAATATCGGCGCTGCTATTGCCACTTTACTATTACCAACACATATTCGCGTGAATTTGTTGTACGACGACTTCGTTCCTGCACTTGTCAATTATGATTTCCGAGCAGGATACGCAGAACGTTGACATGAAACCGGACGAGCATACGTAGATGACCATACCGTGAACACACGTTTATCACTCTTCGCCCTTGCGTACAAATAGGGTTGCTTGTACATACATGTGACGCTAAACACTTTTTCAATTGGCCAATAGAATTTGCCATTTTCAATGCACCAATCCGGCAACGATCTGCAGGGACGCACTCGATATTCAAACAACATTGAACCTGTATCAATTTTGACAGGCATTCGATGTCTCGTTTATCGAAGTACGTTTAGAAATTTTAATCGTTTGTGATTGATCAAAAACATATTTAACTTTTCTTTTAGGATTTTTAATTCAAAACGCCTCGATACATATTTCGCGCTTTATCTCATGCCAATCAAGGCGTTAGTATCGCTGGAAGCTTTTAGTAAAATACGCTAACATGGCGTCTGCGTCGGTAAGTGTACGGAATCCATTTCAACCCATTCGATTTTCATATATATTGACGTCAGGTGTTTTTTCTTTTTATTACACTTTTTACCACATCAATTTACTTTAAAGCATCATAGGAAAGAATCATTTTTAGCGCGTAAAAATCAACGCCATTTTATTGCCGTATCGGAAGAATTATTGACATTTGTTCGTGACTATCTGTTCATAGGTATATTAGTTAAATTTAATATAAATACGTTATTTGTGATTATAGTTTTATAATATACAAAGTGCTGTTTAATTTCTTTTATATATAAAAGTTTTTTAGAAAGAAAAAGAAAATTTTTATTCTTTGATTAATTATAATTATTTTCATCGCATTATACCTTTGTTGGTTGTTTACGAATTTTATATTATTTTTTATAGGTTCCTTTGCTAATGGACGATGATACAATTGCTTTTGGCGAAGAAGATGAAACGAGTCAAAATAGTAATAAACTCAAGTACGTTTATGTTATGTAAATATATGAATTTTTATATACATACATATATATATATATATACATACATAAACAGCTACACATTTAAAATTGATAAAACTAAATTTTTGTAGGCATCCATATGTCACCATATTTCATTTAGCCTTCAGAATATCAGCGATAATAGCATATATGTTATGTGGATGGTTTTCAAATAGTTTTATAACTAGTTTTGTTGTTGTTGTATTACTTTTATCAATGGATTTCTGGACTGTAAAAAATATTACTGGAAGACTAATGGTTGGACTTAGATGGTGGAATTACGTGGATGATAATGGAAAGAGCCATTGGGTATTTGAATCTAAAAAGGTTTGTTTTTAATTTTTATATCGTATAAGGATAAAAATATATATCCAGTTATATCCAATTTTATTTTATTATTGATTATACTTTCTATTTGATTAAACTTATAAACCGATTGATTTACATTTATTATATGTATTCATTCTTTTATATTTTGGTATTCTTTTATATTTTGGTAGACATTGCTTTTTCTTGAATGAATAGTTCAAGGATTACTAGATTTCACATTATATAGCCTTGACATATTCTGGTTAAAAAGAAATGAAACGTTATAATTATGCAGGAATTTAAAGTTTTAGCATTCTTAGTAAATGGCAAGAAAAAAAATATATAAAAAATTATAATTGTTTACTATAAAATACAAGGTCTATTATGTACCCTGTGTTTCAGGGTGTTCAACAGAATCGCATTAATACCACGGAAGCTCGTATCTTTTGGTTAGCTTTAATCCTTTGCCCCCTTTTATGGTCAGTATTTTTTGTGGTGGCATTATTTAGTTTAAGATTTAAGTGGCTTCTACTCGTTTGCATCGCGATTGTTTTAAATGGTGCAAATTTATACGGATACGTGAAATGCAAAATGGGAAATGATAAAAATATTTCTGCAGCAACTAGTGATTTTTTGAGGAAACAAGTCATACAAAATGTTAGTAAATAAATAAATATTCGTTGCAATTATCGATATCATATCACGAATCGATTCATAATCATTATTTATATTTTTCAGGTTGCATCCATGATGACTAGAAGTCCTCCCACGGGTAATTCAAACGAACCGACCAATGTGATATAAAATTAGAAAATTTCAACAATGATATCATATAAAAACGATATCGTGATGAATGATCATTAAAAAAAAATATCAATTTGTATATAATAACGTCGTATATAATAATTTGTCTTGTATATCTTGATCGGATAACATAAAATTAAGTTAAGTATGAAAAACAAAATGCTGTTTTCTTGTTTCTTGTTTTTTTGTCACATAAG